AGCGCCCCCTGGGCGGCCGAAGCCGTGGCCACCTCGGTGCTGGCCCAGATGGCCACCCAAAGGACAGAGCTGGGCCTGCCCGTGCCCTCCCACGTCATCATGGCTCCACAGTCCCAGTCTGCTGGCAGATGATGGCACCGTGGCCACCTGGAGCTTGAACCCACCACCTGGCAGCAGAGACTGAGCCCACCCAGGCCCTCCCGTGGGGCCCGGCGGGAGTTTTGTTTCTTCTTCTTTTCTTCTTCTTCTTCTTCTTCTTCATTGTTTTTGGGGGGTTGGTTTTTGGTTTTTTCCTGTCAGTCGAGGGCAGCTACAGCGTTTCTGACCCCGTGGCCACCCCTGCAGGCCCTGCCCTGTCACCTCCTTGTCCCCAAAGGGACGGTGCCCAACAAAGGGTTTGGCCCAAGCTTTGGGTTGACCAACCCATTGACTGGCAGAGTCACCTCAACAGAGAGTCACCCTGACAGGGTCACCTCAATACTGAGTCACCCTGACAGGGTCACCTCAACAGAGTCACCCCAAGTCACTTCAACACAGAATCACCCCAACACTGAGTCACTCCAACATGTGGTCACCCTGACAAAGTCACCCCAACAGGCCCTCCCGTGGGGCCCGGCGGGAGGTTTGTTTCTTCTTCTTTTCTTCTTCTTCTTCTTCTTCTTCATTGTTTTTGGGGGGTTGGTTTTTGGTTTTTTCCTGTCAGTCGAGGGCAGCTACAGCGTTTCTGACCCCGTGGCCACCCCTGCAGGCCCTGCCCTGTCACCTCCTTGTCCCCAAAGGGACGGTGCCCAACAAAGGGTTTGGCCCAAGCTTTGGGTTGACCAACCCATTGACTGGCAGAGTCACCTCAACAGAGAGTCACCCTGACAGGGTCCCCTCAACCCTGAGTCACCCTGACAGGGTCACCTCAACAGAGTCACCCCAAGAGAGTCACTTCAACACAGAATCACCCCAACACTGAGTCACTCCAACATGTGGTCACCCTGACAAAGTCACCCCAACACTCAGAGTCACCCCAACACTCAGAGTCACCCTAACAGAGTCACCACAGCACTCAAACACCTCAACACTCAGTCACCCCAACAGAGTCACCTCAACACTCAGTCACTCCAACAGGCAGAGTCACCCTAACAGAGTCACCTCAACATTCAAACACCCCAACACTCAGACACCCCAACAGAGTCACCCCAACAGCCACTTAACAGAGTCACCCCAACATGCAGAGTCACTTCAACACTCGGACACCCCAACAGAGTCACCCCAACAGGCAGAGTCACCTCAACTCAATCACCCCAACATGCAGAGTCACCCTAACAGAGTCACCCCAGTGCTCAGACACCCCAACACTCAGACACCCCAACATTCAGACACCCCAACCTCCATGCCTGGTGGGGTCCCTTCCACTCTCCCAGATCCCCTCCCACCACTTCCCTCTCTTCCTCCTCCTCCTCTCTTGCCAGGTGACACCAGTTCCCAGGGCTGGGACACCCAGTCCTGCTCTCCAGGTGTTTTGTGGGGAACAACTGGTTGGTCCCAGGTCTGTCCCCTCCTCCTGCCACCCCAAACGTTGCACCTTGGCTCAAGGAGCCTCCTCCAGCCCTGAGCTTGGAAGGGACCAAGGTTGGTCCCATCCCACGTCGACTCCCAAGATGCCAACGACAGATTTTTGGACACTGTGGGAGTGTCACCAGTATAAACCAGTTTGTGGCCAGAGAAGGGGGGACAGGGAGGACACACAAGCATGTTCCTGGTGACTTGTGCTGCAGATGGTGACGTGCTGCTCTCCTGAGGGGACACAGGGGTTGCTGGAGGGAAGGTCCCATCCTGGGACAGGGCAAGGGCTGCCCACAGGCTCCCTCACCCAGTTGGTGCTGCTCTGGGCCTGCTGGGACCAGTTCAGAACTGGGGGAGCACAGGAACGGATCAACTAGCCCAGCAGGGGACAACGTGGGGACCGGAATTCATCATCTGCTCCCAACTCCACACAGATCCCTCCTTCTCCAAGGAATCATCTTGACACATCCCCTTGATGACCTCAAGAATGGTGGCCTTAAAGTCATGGATGAGTTGCCTGTTCCCAGGGGAGGGAGCACCAGGAAGTGTTTCCATCTCACCTGGTCTCTTCCCTCCTCATCATCACGAGCATCTTCCTCTCTCGTTGATGGAACCTCCATTGCGTCCCAACCAGAGCAAACCAAGGATTCCCAGAGCTTCCCAGTTGCCCAGGGCTGGTTAAAAACCACCTGGAAAGATGCTTGGAATTGGGGTTCCTGCCTTGTTGGCCACGTGTCCCTTGGGGACTTCCCAAGCTCTGGAGATGGGAAAGGGACCCACGTGTGCTCGGGCTCTCGGAAAGCACCTCAACCAAACCCATCCATGGAGCTTCTTCAGCCCTTGGTCTTCCTCTCCACCCCCCCAGGAGGTCCCTCCTCACCCACCTCAGGTTGCACTCGCCACTTTTGAGCCAAGTTGGTTGGTCAGATTTGCTTCCATTTGGCTTTTCCAGAACTTGGAAGGTTTTCCAGGAACAGCAGAACCCAAAACGAAGCCGGAACGAGACGCTGGATCCTCCTGGGGATGAGGACCTGGAGCACTTTGCTTTCCTCTGGTGGTGGGATGGGTCTTCTTCTCCCCCCTCCCCTCTTCTTCCAGCTTTTCCTTGACTTCTTGGCATCGTGGACCACGGCCTTGCCCACCTTTGGTTCATCTCCCCACCACGCTGCTCTCCTGCTTCCTCATCT